TAAACTATCTCAGATATTCCTTTTTTTTCAAATCATTATTTCTTTGACCAAAAAGTGGACTTATCTTTTAAAAGCCTGGAGCCTCACAGCCAAGCCAAGTCCCCAGAATCCCAGGATCTCTGGGTTTCTCATGATGTGTAAAGGGATTCCCAGAATATGTCAGAATGGATCAACTTTTACAACCTTTTTCCAATGAGCATTTTAAAGGAAAACCAATTTTAAAAAGATAACTATGTTTTAAAGACCAGCCCCTGGAGAAGGACATCATGCTTGTGGTAAAGTGGAGGGGCAATGAAGAAGAGGAAGGTCCTCAACAAGATGGATTGAGACAGTGGCTGCAACAATGGGCTCACACATAAGAATAATTGTGAGGATGATTCAGGACCACGCAGCGTTCCTCTCTGTCATTGACAGGGTCGCTGTGAGTTGGAACTGCTTCAGTGGCCACTAACAACATGCTTTAACGTCAAGCAATTTATAATCTCTAAAAGAAAACTATTCATCCATCAAGTATTTCTCTGATTTGTACCATGTCCCAGGAAACCCAGAGGTGAAGGGGAATAATATTACAGGAGCTGTAACACTGGGGAAAATGTCGTCTGTGTTAAAGCCATATTTAACCTTGTGAGGAGGTATAGGTAGACAAGGTGAGCATTGAGAACTGAGTCCAGAAGCAGATGAGGGGAAACCTCAAAACCCTGTCTGTACATCTTATCCTTCCCCAGTTTTCGTCAGCCTTGACCCCTTTCATGTCAACATTGGTGTAAGTCAGCGATTCTCAACCTGTGGGTCTCAACCCCTTGGGGATCAAACAACCCTTTCACAGGGTTGCTATTCATAACAGTAGAAAATTACAGTTATGAAGTTGCAATGAAAATAATTTTATGGTTGGGGGCCACCACAACATGAGGAACTATATTAAAGGGTCACGGCATTAGGAAGGTTGAGAACCACTGGTGTAAGTGGTCCTTGACTAAGCCATGATATTTCCAATGGTAGGATTTGGTGACCTTTGAAGATGTGGCTGTGGAGTTCACCCAGGAGGAGTGGGCATTGTTGGACTCTTCACAGAGAAAACTACACAGAGATGTAATGCTGGAGAACAGCAGGAACGTGGCATCACTTGGTAAGGCCAACATCAGTCCTGCATTAAAATAATCCTTCAGACACCAGTCTTAAGCACCTACTGTGCTCCAGGGTCTGTGTTGGAAATCGAAAACATGCTGGTGAATGAGACATATAGGGTCCCTACCTTCACAGTATTTGCTGTCTACTGTCTGTCTCCTCTATGAAGTGAAAATGTGCCCCTAGACTGACTTTGTATTCAACATGATTAAATGCTTTGGGACTTCTGAAGTGCATTAGGTCTTGGGCATGAGCTCCCAGAAAAATTACCCCTGGTCACCCAGGCTATTGGGGGAGAATACTTGTATTTTTGTTCCTTATGAAACAGATTATTCTGGATTAAAATTGCATGCCTGCCACTCCTTCAAAAATATGTGTTGAATTCCTGGCCCTGGTACTATAGATGTGACCTTGCTTGGAAATAGAATTTATTTTGTTTTGCTAAGGAGATCATACCAGTGTAGGGTGGATCATAAATCTAATCGCTTCTGCATTATGTGAAAGACAAGAATAGACACAAACACAAGGAGCAAGACAAATCAGAAGTGAGGATCTGTATGCACTGAAAGGAATGGCAAGCATCATCACTTGAAGCATCAACAGTAGCAACCAAGAGAGAAACTCATAGGAGGAAGTGACATTCGACACCCTGAATTGGATTTCTGTCTTCCAGAACTGTAAGAAAATAAATTTCTGTTCCTTAAACTACCTACTTGTATTTCTGATACAACAACATAGATAACTAAGACAGAAGTTGGTACCAAAGGGGGGGGGGGGGGCGAATTAAACTTACTGCCATAGAGTCAAATCTGACTCACAGTGACCCTACTGGTCAGTTTAGAACTGCCTCTGTGGGTTTCTAAGACTCTAACTCTTTACAGGAATAAAAGGCCTCATCTTTCTGCCTCAGAGTGGCTGATGGATTTGAACTGCTGACCTTGTGACTAGCATCCCAATTCGATACGTAACCACTATATTACTAGGGCTCCCAGAGAATAGGGATTGCTAATCTAGCAAATCATAACCGTGAAAGTGGCTTTGGAGTTGAGTCATGGTTAAGGTGGGAGGAATTTGAATCCCCTTGGTAGTAAGCTGAGAGTGCCTGGAAGATCCTGTCGGTGGAACTGTCATCATCAGGGACAACTCCTGTGACGTTCAGAGAGAGAGGAGACCGACGAGGAAAGCCGTCATCAGGGACAGCTCCTGTGACGTTCAGAGAGAGAGGAGACCGACGAGGAAAGCTGTCATCATCAGGGACAGCTCCTGTGACGTTCAGAGAGAAAGGAGACCGACGAGGAAAGCTGTCATCAGGGACAACTGTGACGCTCAGAGAGAGGAGACCGATGAGGAAAACTGTCATCATCAGGGACAACTCCTGTGACGTTCAGAGAGAGAGGAGACAGACAAGGAAAGCCGTCGTCATCAGGGACAGCTCCTGTGACGCTCAGAGAGAGAGGAGACTGACGAGGAACGCTGTCGTCATGAACAAGATGGCAATGATAAATGTGCTTCCGTTGAGCCTTTAAAAAGAAATGAAAATGTTCCTGGATCCTAGCCCCTAATAAAAGGTTTAAAAAGAAAATGTTACTGGACAATAAAAGAAAATTACTTACTACAAAGTAGCAAAAACTTGTCCGCATTATAGTAGAATGTTTTGTGGAAAAAAGAATTTATGCGTGCTGGATATTTGAGGATATTTCTAAGCAAGATGTTCAGAGGGCAGTGTGGGTTCTTGATGCTACTTATAATAAAATATAGGAGGAAAGAGAAATTTAAAATGAACTGAGGGAAAGGGGGCAGGGCACAAAAGGAAGAGGAAACAATGAACTTAAAGATTTGTAAAATGCTGTTGGAAAAACTAAAAGAACTTATCATGGAAAGGATTTCAACCTTTTGTGACTATACAAAGCTTTTGCTAAAGAGATTAAGCCTAGACTATAATAGAAATGTGAGTAAAGGGAGACAGCAGATGATGTAAGATTCAAAATAGCAATAATAATATATCATTGATCAAGGATTCATGAGGGTGGGAAGGAGGGGAAGAAAGAGGAGCTGATACCAAGGGTTCAAATAGAAAGAAAATGTTTTGGAAATGATGGCAACATATGTACAAGTGTGCTTAATACAGTTGAGTTATGGATTGTTCTGTAAGAGCCCCCAATAAAATCATTAATAAAAATAAAAGAGATAAAGCCATAGCTGATGGATTTAGTCAATCACCACACCAAAAATTCTGTCATTTCATACTGAAGGGAAAGTTAATTGCTTCCTGAGTGGATTCCAACTCATGGTGACCCTATGTGACAGTGTAGGACTGCCCCATAAGATTTCCTAGACTGTAATCCTATGGGGTAGATCATCAGATCTTTTCTCCTTCACATCTTCTGGTTGGGTTCAAACTGCTGACCTTTTGGTTAGTAGCCAAGCACCTAACTGTTGTGCTACTATGGCTCCTTCCAGTGGGGATATTTAATTAAACACATCCATTGTCCTTAAAAAAGGAGTGGGTGCCAATGCTGAAAGCTGTCCATAGATCAGCAGGCAGCAGGACAGTCAGAAAGAACAGAGGGAGAAAGGCTACAACTTTCATGGCTTCAAAAGGTGGCAATAGATACCCCTTACCCCCAGGTTTCAAATAGTGTCAAAGGGTGAGGTCACCGCCACTTTAGGAATAGAGGGCTGCCATTCTATTGAGCCAAGCAAATGGGACCCTGCCAAGAGTTCAAGGGGCAGGGCTGTCAGGCTGGTGGATAGGAAGAAGAAAGGCAAAAAGCCCACTAGAATAAGGTCACTGACCAAGTGAACCTAGAGGACAAGACTGATGCCCAGAGTGGGGGGTTCTCCACCTAGAATCCAGAGAGCATGGCTATTGCTCGCCTGTGCTGGAGTGAAACCAGGTTGATTTGGAAGCTTTCAAGCTGATGCTTGCCCGCTGAGTTCCAGAATGGCTTGGTGACCCACCCTTTCCTTCCATTGTGCCCTTTTGGATTGGAAATGGCTATCTTGTGAAGTTCCACAATTACACGGTGGAAGCAGATAATTTGTATTATAGATTTCACAGGTCCACAGGCAAAGGAGAATTTTGCCCCAGGATAGAACACATGCAGACCCTCATTGATACTTGAGTTATATAAATCATAAGATGAGATCTTCAGCTCAAGGTTATCAAATGGGTTAAAACTTCGGGAAGTAGGTGATATGTTTTGCATGTGAGAAGGACATAAATTTTGGGAGAACAGAGTATGATGTTATAGATTGGATGTGTCGCCTAAAAATACATGTTGTGCCTTTAGATATGATCCTATTTGGGAAATTGGTTTTTCTTTTCTTATGCTAATTGATCATGCCAGTTCTAGTTCTAATCACTTCTGAGTTATTAAAAAAAAAATGTTTTTTAAGACACAAAATAGCTCCCAGGCAGAGCTTGGGACAGACAAGGAATACCAAGGAAGGCTAAGACTGATTTGGATTTTAGTACCCATATCTGTGAGAAAATAAAAATTTTTTTAAAGCTACTTAAAACTTTAAAGCCTACTCACTTGTTATTTCTGCAACTAAGTAGTTAAGACAGAGATTTTACTCTATTCGTGTGACTTTAGGCATGATTATTCCAAAGCTTATACATCAAACCTGCCCATCTTCAGAATTGTTCAATTCATGGAGAGGCTTTTAGCTCCCTGCACAGTTACACCTTTTCACCAGACCATAAGCCCATTTTGATATACTCAAATAAAAAGTGATGACAAAAGAGAAAGGAATTCTCCCAGGTACCTGAACAGGTGAACACCAGATTCTTCTTGAAACACCTAAATTGTCAACAGCCAAGTCCTTTTCATTGTGAACGTCCTCAAAACGTTTTGAGATTATGTTTTTACTCATGCATCCATGTGACCACTTCATTTTTCCACCGATTAAAAGACCTTTCAATTTGTTTCAGATTTGGAGAGTATACTTAAAACCAAAGCGCTAACTCCTAAGCAGACTGTTTATAGGAACGAGCAAACTAAACTTAAGAAAACGGTAAGCATGACAAGGACGGTTTGGGGGTTTCCACGGTGCATAAATTCAAAGAACAAAAAAATAACCAGCAAAGTCAATAACATTTAACTAAGAGAGAGTGGTGACTGGAGAAATAGTGTAAGATTTATAAATTTGGAGATAAGTTAGTTCCAAACTTATTTCTTCACCGAAAATGAGTAAAAATTTCCATAAATGTGACACAGATATTGAGTGTTTGAAGGATAAATTAGCTTTAAAATTTTCAGAGATTGTTCTATGAATAGAATAAAGACTTGTGGCTGATCATACATCTTTACCTTCTAAGGACTTACAGTGGGCGTAAACTCTATATGAGCATAGAGGGTAATTTAAAAATCAACATTAAAATAATTATATATATAACAGAATTCCAAGGGAAAGAACTCTAGTTACTGCATTGAATACTGAAAATATTAGAAATGTTAGTCATCGCTCGTCTCTTCAACAGGAGAGAAATCATCTTGGAGTGAAGCTCAATGAATGTAATCAGTGTTTTAAAGTCTTCAGCACAAAATCAAACCTTACTCAGCACAAGAGAATTCACACTGGAGAAAAACCCTATGACTGTAACCAATGTGGAAAATCCTTCAGCAGTAGCTCTTACCTTACTGTTCACAAAAGAATACATAATGGGGAGAAACCCTATGAATGCAATGACTGTGAAAAAGCCTTCAGTAATTCCTCTTCTTTTAAATTGCATATGAGAATACACACTGATGAAAAACCCTATGAATGTAATCAGTGTCTTCGTGTCTTCCGTACTAGATGTAGCCTCAAAATGCACAAGAGAGTTCATACAGGAGAGATTCTCTATGAGTGCAATCAATGTGGAAAGACCTTCAGCACACGATCTTCCCTTACTGTGCACAGTAGAATTCACACAGGTGAGAAACCTCATAAATGCCAGCATTGTGGGAAAGCCTGTACGTAGAGCTCTCATCTGACACAGCATGTGAGAACTCATACTGGGGAAACCTTATGGACATAATCTGTGGGGGAAATCCTTCAGCTGTAAGTTTCCTCCTACTGTCCACATGAGAATGCGTAGTGAAGAAAAGCCCTATGAATGTAATGACTGTGAGAAAACCTTACATAATCGCTCATCTGTTAAGAAACACATGAGAATTCACACAGGAGAAAAGCCCTATGAATGTGACCAATGTGGAAAAGCCTTCAGCAGCAACTGTTATCTTTCTGTACTTAAGAGACTACATAATTCATAGATGTAAATTCAATGACTGTAGGAAAGCATTCAGTCATCTCCTTCGTATAACATAAGAATACTAACATTAGATGTATTATCTATGATAGTTGCATGCAAAATTAACCCAAAAACCTTACTGGCTTAACATAACAAACATTTATTATCTCACAATTTATGTAGGTCCTATATTCAAGATCTACTTCCCTCTGTGATTTAGTTCATAATCTCTGATAAGATTGCAGCCCAGATATTAGCTGGAGTTTCAATTACTTGTAGTTCAGGGATGAATCACTTTGAAAATTGCCACTCACATATCTGCCATAGTAAAGCTTTTTGTTTGTGGAAGATTTTTTAGTTTCTTCCATTTAGGCCACTCCACGGGGTAAATGTATTAATGATAAAGCATCAGGTTTCACACCAAAGAAAATCATTTTAAAGATAGCAAGGCAAAAGCCATGATGTCTTTTTAGTTATTGTTGGTGAAAATATATTTTTTTAAATCTCTATTAATTCAACAATTTACACATACAATTCAGTGACATTGGTTACATTCTTCTTGTTAGAAAACCTTTATCACTATCCTTTTCCAAATTACTTTACCATCATTGACATAAACTCTGTGCACAAATTACTCCCCTTCTTCCTCCCTCCTTTGGTATTCACTATTAATCTTCGGCTTTTATATGTTTGCTCTTTTCATATACTTGAGCTTTTTAAGTATTCGTACTTTTCCAGCTGACATATATGGCTCGGCATGATTTTTTTTTTTTTTGCTTTTTTTTTG